TATATGTATATGTAAGTTAAATATTGCTTTTCTCTTTCTTTTATGTCTATTGCATAGTTTTATCAATAAAAGAATAACTTACATAAAAATAAAATCACTTGGGGCTGGAGAGATAGCACAGCGGGTAGGGCTTTTGCCTTGCACGTGGCTAGACCCGGGTTCAATTCCCAGCATTCCATATGGTCCCCTGAGCACCGCCAGGAGTAACTCCTGACTGCAGAGCCAGGAGTAACCCCTGTGCATTGCCAGGTGTGACCCAAAACACAAAAACATACAAACAAACAAATAAAATAAAATCACTTGTCTCTGATGAGCATACAGCAATTCCTACTGTCCTGGTGAATACAAAATACAACTCTTACATAGTTTGCCTAGTTTATTTTAGTTGCAGCAAAGGACTGGAATGTAGATGGGTTTGGGTCCGCAGGTTTTTCAGTCTTGTAAAGATTAGTTTGACTATCTTCTCGTGAAATCTGGCTCAAAAAGCAAACAGACTATAAATCTGCCTCTCCTGTACCCAACTTTATTACACAGAATATCTTCCTAACATTGGTAGAATGTCCACTGTTTTCACACTGCATCCACATTCTATTGCTGAGACTATATAGGTGAGCAATAGAATATTGGAGATATAAACGAATAAAGCAGAAGGAGTATTGGAGGATTGACTTGCACATCCCTCTACCCTGGTTCTTCCATTTCCAAAAGGGGAAAACATGGAGAACACAAAATATGTAAAACTTATTGAAAAAGATTTCTGATGAAAAGCAGAAAACATGCATTCAGTACTGTTCATTTCTAAAAAAGAGTAAAATAGAAAGCACAGTGCGACAGGCATGTCAAGTGGGAGTGCAAAAGGAAACAGCAGGTACTGTCTTAGTTTCTTTTGCATGGTTTTAGACTTCCTGTATATCCTATTGCTTCCCACTGTCTTTCCCAAATGGGTGACAATACCTGAGGTCAGTAGTTCTGGCCATATTTGGCCACTTTCATGAGTTTCCATGGTAACAATAAACTGTCCCAGGGCTGGTAAGCATGCTTTTGGTCTTTTGAAATATTCTTATGATCATATAATGAGTTAGAATTCACTCAGCAGTCACTTAACATTCACCTACACTTTACCACCTTGATCATAATAAAGCAGTCTTTGAAGGGTTTCATAAAATTACAGTGAAGTTTTTTAACTACCATAAATTGGAATTAGTCCCTAGCCTGGTGTCTTACTCTGGGTAGTCAATTTATGTTGCTTACTGTTCTTGGTTCTATATCATTTTTCTCCTGACATCACATATACAACACAGTTTGGTATCACCAGCTTAATATAAACTATTAGTAAAAAAAATCTGAAAGCTGGTTCTTTAAAAATCAATAGAATTGATAACATTGAATTAGATTAATCATAGAAAAAAGAAAACAAATTACTAGAATGATGCATGAGTTAAAATCAGATCTGTTTTGTGTAAAATAAGAATAATGACCCTTCTTTCATTTATCTTTGTGATAACAAAATTTTCTCTGTTTTTTGTAAGTAATCAAATTAAATAAATGGATGTCAAAATTCCCTTGATCACTTGACATTCCATTACTCATTGATTTGCTCGAGCGGGTGCCAGTAATGTCTCCATTCATCCTTGTTGCATGTTAGTGTAGTCCAATGGTGTGTGCTCATTACAGGAACAAGAAGAGCCTCAAACTGATCATTCAGGGTCTTAAAGAAGAAGACTGACCATCTCGTAGGTGGGTTGCCGCACCATCTTTTGACGTCCTGTGGAATCCAGTCATTTAGTTCAGCACTCGTCTCCAAATCTCATTACTGTCATGTGATCTGATTTTCGATGCCTTGGCAAACGAGATAGCATTCCTGATCCTTGACTGTCAACGGAAATCAGAACTTTGGATTTTTTCTCTCATTTGAGTGAAGCGTGATATTCCAACTATAGTTTTTTGATTCCTCTTTGGAAGACCTGAATAGCATTCTCATCCTCCTTTCATAGGGCCCAGTTCTCTGAGGCATATGTTAATGCAGAAAGAACAGTGCAATTGAAGAGATGTGCCCAGAGCCGGCGGTTCTTTGTTCTCTTAGCTATTTCTTCAAAGCTCTTGAAGGGGTTCCAAGCCGCTCTCTTCCTCCTGCTCAATTTAGGTGCCAAGTCATTCGTCATGTTGACTTTTCGACCTAGGTACACATAACTGTTGCATTTGGAGATGTTTGTTCCATTGAGAGTGAACGGAATGTCAGAAACAAGACTATTTCTCATAAACATTGTCATCGTGAGATTCAGCTGTAGTCCAACCTTTTCACACTCACAGTCAAAGTTGGCCAGCATTTGTGGCACTTGGCTAATGTTTCATGTTATTAGAATGATGTCATCAGCAAAGCGTAGGTGGTGTAGTTGCCGACCATCTATCTCACTCCCATTCCTTCCCATTCTAGTCATTGCATAACGTTCTTGAGGGTGGCACTGAAGAGTTTTGGTGAAATGGTATCACCCTGCCGAACCCCTTTCTGGACATGGATGATCACATATTTGTAGAATTGTGAGATCCTTGTAGTGAATCTGTAATACAGCTCACAGAGGATCCTGATGTATTGAGTTTGAATGCCCTGTTTCGCTAGGCTTCAATGACTGCTTCCATCTCAACAGAATCAAAGGCCTTCTTTAAATCAATGAACATTAGACAGAGCGGCATCTTGAACTCCCAAGAAACCTCAATGAGGTTAGTTATCATGTGGATATGGTCAATCATGCTAAATCCTTTGCGCAACCCAGCTTGCTTGCATGGTTGTCCTTCATCTAGTGTTCTGCCAATCCTATTCAGAATGACTCGAGTGAACAGCCTTTAGATGACAGACAATAGGCAGATCAGGCGATAGTTGCCAATGCCATGGATATCTCCCTTCTTGTACAGTAGTACAGTTCTGCTGTTTTTCCACTGGGATAGAACCTTACATTCAGACAGGTAGCGTGTGAATAACCAAGCCAAGTGTATTGATGAGTACCGATGGCAGGTTCTTCAGGTGTTCGGGTCTGACCTTGTCTGGGCATGAAGCTGTTCGCTTCTTTACCGATGAAATGGCATGTTGGATTTTGGAAGGGAGAACGTAGGGAACAACATATCCATCATGCAGAATTTGGTATGTGGGCAGGTGGATGTGGTTATTGAAGAGATCTGAGTAGAAGTCATGGATAATCTTCTCCATTGCCCTTCTGGAAGATGTGATCTATAAGGACATCAGAAGGCAGTTATCTTGGTCTTGTAGTTGATGAAGTACAGGCAGGAGTTGCGAACACTTTTCCTGGCTTCTGCTGCATCTGCCAGCACTGCTGCTCTTCTCTCTTTGAGGTCATCCTTTATCGCTTCTCTCTACTCTTTTGTGAGTTCGGAGTTTGCTTGCTCTTGCCTGAGGCTTGCACCAAGCCATGTTGGCGAATAACCTCAAGAGTTTTTAAACATAGGCTTTTTTTGTGGCTATCTCTCTCGGCATTCCTCGCACAATCATGGAGGTGTTGAACCAGTCGATTTTATTCCTCCTCAATGTTGTTATTGATGGCATCTTTCCATGTTGCTGCAATAGTTCCAAAGAGCTCCCAGTTAGTGGTCATTCTGGGAGTTCTCTTCTTTAACTTTGCAGCCCTCTCTCCCTGCTCTGTGAAGCAAAATTTTGCACAAAAGAGACAGTGATAGGATCCTGTTTGGAATTTTGGGACAACAGCGACATCAGTCAGGTAAAACCGTCGATTGAATATGATGTGGTCAATTTCATTGTGGAACCATCCACTGGGAAACTCCCAAGTCCAACATTGAGATTCAGTCTTCTGGATCTATGAGTTACCATGGATAGTCTTGGTTGACATGATGAACTCAGACTGTCTGTCACCCTATTCATGCCATTCTAGGCCGTGGGTCCTGATGTGGAGTTCTTTGGCTGATCTTTTTGGTGCTATCTTGGCATTAAAATCACCAACAATGATCTTGTGGGAGGTGTGGTCTTCTTTATAGAACTTCTCCAGTTCCATGTAGAACTTCTGAATTTTTTTGTAGTAATTGGATGTTGGTGCGTAGACAATGAAGATAGAAACTGTTAGCATTAAACCATGTCTATTCAAGTGTAATCATCTGATTTGGATTGTTAGTTATTTGAATGAATCGATTTTTATGGCCAACTTCGTGTTGACAAGGACACTGACACCACCAATGCCTCTTTTTTTGCATATTCTGAGGAACAGTTCTACAGTGTCGAAAATGGCATGATGTGATCGATGCCTTCTTGGCTCAATCAGACCAATGATGCTGTACATGATCTTTTGAGCTTGTACCATCAGGATGTCAAAATTATATAATGAAATGATAATTTAAATTTTAAAATGTATAGAAAAATTGTCTGCAAATTAATTTGTTGTATATTGCCAGTATAACCTAGATGCAAAATCAATGACAACCTTTAAAAATAAATGAAAAAGAACACAATATAACTTTGAATATTTGTACAAAGATGCTTAGCAAATTACAAATATATAATACAGAAATTTATAAATAAGTATTCTTCATAACTGAGTGGGACTTGCTGGAATGAAAGATTAAAAGAACATTTCATGAATTTGACGCACAAAAATAATTTGATATTCTATTAGTTAATATGTTATAGTATTTTATTAATATATACATATATAACTAGTATTATATTAGTGGGTGGCATTAAAATAATCCACATTACATGATCACCTAAAAGTTTAGAAAATTATATGACAAAATTCAATGTAATTTTAAGTATAAACATGTAAAATATTAGTAATTAAAGCAAACTGAGGACATTTCCAAAATACAAACAAACAATTATATACCTGGTAATAAAGTAGATGATTTTCCCTCAATATCAGCCAATTCATTCCACTTCTTATCAATATGTTATTAGATGTTTTAAGAAGAAAATTTAGAAAATAGGTATGCTCCAATGATTATAGAAAGAAACAAAGCTTTTTTTTTGGTTTGATTTTCAGAAAACATTATCGTGTATGTCAAAATTCTGAAGGAATCCATTAAAGCTATTAAAACTAATAAGCAGACTCATCAAGGATATAAGGTAAATTCAGTGTACTATGTATATACTAAATAAATAATATGTTATATATTTAAAATTAATTATCAAAACTAAAAGTATGTGAACAATTTGATTTACAAAACCATCACAACAGAAACTAACATAAATTAATAAAATACGTGACAAATGCATTTAGAGCACTATAAAACATTATAAGAGTAATTAATGAAGTTCTAGATTAATAGAAGTCATGCTTCAGTAGAATGATTATTTTTAGTGTTTTTTGTTTAACATTCTGCCATGCTTAGGAATTTTTCCAGGGATCTATGATCAGGGGTCAATCCTGGCAGGGTTCAGGGAACCATGTGAAGTGCTAGGAATTTGAATGCAGGTCAGTTACAGGAAAGACAAATTCCTTAATCCCTGTATCATCTCTCAGCCCAAAACAAATATTTTTAAGATAACATTGTTGTATCGAGTCAATCTCTGTTAGCGTACCAGGTAACATTATTGGACATCAATTTAAAATCCACATGGTACTTCAAATAAGCCAAATAAGTAAAACATAATTAAAAATAGACCAATTGATTTTTTATAAAGGTCTTCTGATTCATCATTTGTTGAAACATTGCATTTTAATATGATTTTGAGACAAATAGAATCATGACAAAGAATAGACCTGAATTCTTTCCATGCATGATATGAAAAAACAACACAAAACAGATCAATGACCTCAGTCTGAGAGGTAATATGATGCAGGAAGGAAGGAAGGAAGGAATGAACGAACGAATGAATGAACGAAGAAAATACAGGGATAATATGTATGGATTTAGATTTTTTCAAGATAATTCTTAGGTATAAACTAAAAATTACAACTTGAAAAGAAACATGAAGAACCTCAATAAAATGAAAATAAGAAACTTTATACGATTAATTAAGCAATGTAATGCAAAATGGGAAAATACATTTACAACAAGTATTTTATAAGAAATATATGTTTAAATATATATATGAACACTTATAATTTCATAAAAGATAAATAGAATGATAAAAATATAACCAGGTAAAATCTGAATAGCCATTTTTCTGAAGAAGCAGCACAACTGACCATGAAACCTATAAAAAGATATTCAAAATCTTTCAGTAGCCAGGAATTGCAAAACAAATCACAATAAATTACCTCTGAACACCATTTGAATGGTTAGAATAAAAAAGTCAGATGTGAACAAGAACTTCTGAGAATGCAGTGCAATGAAACCTTGCAAATAATCAACAAGGTCAGTAAGTCTATAGGATATAAATCAAGATACTGGTAGGAATGTAGAATACAATGGCACTTATGTTCAAGTTGTCTTAAAAATATGAACACAGATTTATTTCACAACAAAGTGATTCTTCATCAAATGCATACCCAATTGAAATCAAAATACGTCTACAAATTTTTGTGTTAACATTTTATAGCAGCAATAATTATAATAACCTAAAATCAGAACTAATTTCTTTTTGTCTTTTTCTTATTTGGTCACACCCGGTGATACACAGGGGTTCCTCCTGGCTCTGTGCTCAGGAATTACCTCTGGCAGTACTTAGGGGACCATATGGGATGCTGGGAATCGAACCCGGGTTGGCCGCATGCAAGGAAAATGCCCTACGAGCTGTGCTGTTGCTCCAGCCCCATTAGAACTAAATCAGTTCTTCGATTAATGAATGTTTGAACAAGGTATATTAACCCTTTGCAGTATTTTTAGTAATAAACACGAATGAACTACTTGAACATATTATAACATGGATGAGTGTTAAAATATGATATTTTAATATAGAAAAAATAGTCAATAAAGCATATATAATTTCATTAACATGCAATATCCAAAATAACACATACACATACACACACATATATATATTTATATAAATATATATATATAGCAGATGTACAGTTCCTTAAGATAGCACAGTAGCACTGTGTTTCCATTGTTCATAGATTTGCTTGAGCAGACACCAGTAACATCTCCATTGTGAGACTTGTTGTTACTGTTTTTGGCATATCGAATATGCCATGGGGAGCTTGCCAGGTTTTGCTCTGTGGGTGGGATACTCTTGGTAGTTTACCAGGCTCTCCGAAAGGGACAGAGGAATCAAACCTGGGTCGGCCACATGCAAGGCAAACACTCTACCTGCCGCACTATCTCTCCAGCCCTCCTTAAGATAGTGTATAATAAAAGAGAAATAAGGGGATGATATCTAATTAGTATTTTTTCTTCATGTGACAGTGAATAATGCACTAAGTGATGGTATAGAGAGTAGGGATCTTGCCTTGCATGGAGTCAGCACATGTTCAATCACCAGCACCCCATATAATCTCAAATCATCCATAAGTGCTTCCTGATTGCACAGTCAGAAGTAAGCCCTGGGAACTGCAGAGTGTAAACAAAAAAGTTGAAAAAAAATAAGAAAGTGTGACCCCTGAGTGCAAAGTTAGGAGTATGGCCTGAGTACAGCCAGGTGTGTTTATGCATACCCCCACTTCCAACCACATACATACCACACACACACACACACACATATACACACACACACACAAGAAAATATGCAGGCAACAGTGTTATGATAACACATTATAGAACTGTTGCTGTGTTATTTGTTCTCTATCCTAAACTCTGAAATCTTGTCTGTTGTAAAACCACATTAACCTAATTTAATATATAAAGTCCCTATACTTGTTTATGGGCTGGAGCGATAGCACAGTGGGTTGGGTGCTTGCCTTGCAAGCAGCCAACATGGCCAACTCAGTTTCTATTCCTTTGCCCCTCTCAGAGAGCCCGGCAAGCTACTGAGAGTATCTTGCCCACATGGCAAAGCCTGGCAAGCTACCTGTGACGTATTCGATATGTCAAACACAGTAACAACAAAGTCTCATGATGGAGACGTTACTGGGCCTGCTCGAGAAAATCGATGAACAACCGGAGGACAGTGACCTAATACTTGTTTAAGTTTAAAACGGCAGATTTTATTTTGGGGTGAGGAAGCAAAGATAAATGCACATTCACTGTTTTTTCTTTTGTTTTTTGTAGGTGAACAAACAACCTGATTGATCTATCTACTCTTCCACATTTCTACTTCAAATATTCTTTTTTGATAAGAAGTAACATTAAACAGATTACCACAGATATCTGTATATTTTCATGACTTTAACACTGTATGCATGCATTGATGAACAAATAAATAATGAGAGACTGTGGCCATTTTTTCTCCCACAGAAAAAAAAGTAGAAATTACACATGTTAAAATTATCTAAAAATTACCTCTGTGTCAGGCCAGTCTATTTAGTAACAACAATAACTTTCAGTCTTTGCAGAGAGATTGCTCTGTCATTTTATATCATTATTTTTAAGAACATGAATCTGAATTTCTTTATAGATAAAAAGAATAAAAGGAATAATAAGAGGGGAAGATATCCAATTGGCTCTTATTCCAGCCATGTTGCCAAACAATCAGTTTCAACTGTTTGCCTATCATTAGGCTGAATATAACTTGACTTCTTGTCTCTTGTTCTTTCTTTCAGTTTTCTTTTTCATTTTCAGATCCATGCCTCACTCCCTTTCAAATATTTTTTTTGCAGCATTCATTTACAACTTGACAAATTTCTCTAAATGAGTATTTAACAGTTCCTTAATACCAGGGTTCATATTGTACTCATACTGCTTTTCTTCCTACATTTATGTGGTGGACAGTATACTAGTGTGCGTTTATCACTACCCACCCACAGTGAAATTCCTATTTATTATATCCTTCTACTTCAGATTTTCTACTCTCACCAGAGCTACAAATATATTTTACATGGTTAAGTCCATAAACTTCTGCTTTTATAATAATTGTCCTGAACCTTTCGAGTTTTCTCTATATTTATGTACCTTTATTTGAAATTGTTTTGTTATTCTATATTTTACCACAGAGATTACTTACCTTTCCATTCTATTTCCTAACGATTTCTTTTCTCTTTCTGCCACCCCGTTTCAATCCCTGGCAATGTAAAATGCACATGCCTCCTGGAGCAACACCAGAAGTGATTCATAAGTGGAGAACCAGGATTCCTTAGTGCATTTCTAGTAATAAGCCTTTAGTTTTTGAATGTGGACCAAAAAAAAAGCAATTTTAAAAATTAAAACATTAAAATAAAAAAAAACAGACTTGTGGGAATACAAAGAAACAGTGCAAGAAAACAACAAATGGCCCAAAGCAAAAGAACCTGCAAAAAAGTTTACAGAGCTAAACTTCTCATGGTGGGTTGGGAGAAATAAATTGACGTGAGCTGGATTAGGGGATGATCATTCTGGTGAGCAACATGATATTAGAAACACTGCCATTAAGAGCATTGTATAAACTGGGGTCTAATCTTTTTAAGTTGGGTTGTTTAGAATTGTATTGACTTGGCATTCACATTTCTAAGCCTAATCATCAATATATTTTAAATGCAATTTTTAATTTTGAGAGCTACAGAGAAAAAAAGCTAGGATTTTTGATCATTCACTCACTAGTGGACACAGCAGTATTCAAATGCTACATAAATTAATAATATCCTCAAAATTATTGAACTTTCTGTCTCCATTTCAGTATTTAGAAGCTAAATTTAAGAAACCTTTCATATACCAAACACAGATGATTTGAGCTTAATAAACTCAAATAGAGAGCTACAGTGAATTAAACACCACCAGATATGTCTAAACTGAAAAGGTTGTATTGCTGAGAGAAAAATAATTGGTTATCTTCTAAAATAATTAGAATATGAATTACTTGATAAATCAAAGGTAAAACTACAAAGGTTTTTTGTGTGTTCAAATATTGAGTGTGGGTGTGGCACATGCATTCGGTGGCTATGAGTCACTTCCCTACCCCAGCCTGCCACCACTGATGAATATATGAAGGAGGGAACATGGCCACCAGGCTGGTTGGTGATGAGTCAACTTTTATTTCAATCTCTGTCCAGCCATTTATTCTGTTCTCCCCACATGCCTATTGCAGTCTCAAGTCCATACACTTCTGCTTTTATAATACTTGTCTTGAATGTTTCAAGTATCATTTATAGTTGCAGTTTGCATATTTGAAAAGTATTATAATTTGTGGCATCACCGCCCCTCCTAAGAATATTGAATATTTCCTTCAGTTTACAATTTATCTGGAACTGAGCTTTGATTAGGCATTTTACTCTATGTGCAAAGCTAACTATGAGAGAAATTGAGAATGAGTGATTGCAGGTTGGTGTCTGCAACTTCCTGCTTCTTTTGTGTTGCTTCCACTACAGGTTAACATAAAGTTGAACAGTCCTTTTGGTTGTTATTAATAGAAAGTTATTGCAAACATCCTGTATAGACAATTGTATTTGTGTGGAGTTATCATTTTCCCCCAAGAGAAATAAGAGTTATGTAATTAGAACTCCTCTGATAACTAAGTCACGCAAAGAACACTTCATAAGTTAGGATTTTTGATTATTTACTCACTCGTTTACACAGTAGTATTCAAATGCTTTGAATGCAATAGAGAACATTCTTCTCTATCTCTAAAATGTATCTTTAAAATATATCTTTTATTTCTCATGCATTCGATTCTAACACTAATTCAAACTCATTCATGCAATTATCATTCTATCTAAGAAAATGCTTTTATTTTTTATTTTTTGGCAGTGGGGGGTTCATAGTTCTTTTTTCTACAACCATGCTGAGTTTTAAAATGGAATACATTTTACCCCCTTTGTGGTATATCCGTTCCAACTAAATAACCATATAATGCAAATAAATGGAAGATTTATAAAAACAATTAATTTTGAAAAGTTTTATAATACTGTTTCTTCTGAAATTATCCGAGAAGCTATGAAGTTGGGTCATTTACATGGTGGAGGTTCCAATAATATACAAAAAAAATGGTCCTGTCTTTGCGCCACTCTCTGTTCAGTGTGCATTTTCCTAATCTGAAATTGTATCCTTCAGCCTTTTCTGCACTGTACTCCAATGTATCCTGATATTTTGTCCTGGCTTTCCCTTCCTTTAGTCTCCAGCCCACAGCCCTGTTCTTGTGGGTGAGATCCACATGCTCTGTACCTGTAACTAGGACTCTCACAAATTATCATCATCAGTTCCCTTCTTCCCAGCCTGGCTTTCCTTTGACTCCAGTGTTAGCCCAAGTGCATTTGTGGGTGAGACCTCTGTGCTCAGTACCTGTCGCTGACTGAATATGCCACCTGTCCGGGCACTTGAACCCTAGCTGATCCTGCAGTCAGCCTGGGCATATTCAGAGAGCAGAAGAACAAGAGAGAACATTCTTCTTTATCTCTAAAATATACCTTTAAAATGTATTTGTTAATATATCATTGAGCAAATGGACCCAATGGTTATGAAGCCATTCATCATTTTTCTCAAATAGTAAATGACAGTTTATATTTATTCACAGTTATCTTATCTTTCTTTATTAACAGTAGAACAATCTTCTTTCCTCTCCAAGAGATCATTTCCAGACAAACTTCTATAATGTTGGAATACATATTCAATACTCTAGGTGATATATCTATTCAGATGTTAAAAAACATCTCAAACATCTTAAGTCTAATACTAAACCTTCCCATTTTCCTCTTGCCTCAAAACTGTTTCATGCACAGATTTCTTATTCTCACAAATGCTGGTTTTATACTGCTATCTGCTGAGAGCAAGATATCGGGAGTCATATTTGATTCTTATTTTTCTCACAGCTTTACTTGATAAGTAACCTTAAAAATTTTCCTTAGAAATATAAAGAAATGAATAGCAACTATCAAAACTCACTTGATGTTTTAAGTTATTGAAAAAAATTAAATTTTAGAGGAAAAATGCAAAAGTAAAGAGTGTATAAAGTTTTTTTTTAAGTAGCAATACAAATCTTTCCCATTCTATTCAGTACTACCCCTTATATCATATCAAATCATCACTTGAACTTCAATCATAGCAATAGCTTACTTACTACTCTCATTTCTTATTCTTTCTTTCCATTCTTCCATAATTTACAGTTTATTATCACCTACAAAGTGACCTTTAAAATCTAACATTTGGGTGCTGGAGCAATAGCAAAGTGGGTAGAACATTTGCCTTGCATGCGGCCAGCCAGGGTTCAATTCCCGGCGTCCCATATGGTCCCCTGAGCAAAGTCAGGGGTAATTCCTGAGTACAGAGCCAGGAGTAATTCCTGTGCATTGCCAGGTGTGACCCAAAAATCCAAAAAAATTAGTCTAACATTAGAATTATGCTACTTTTTTATGTGGAGTTTCACTAATAAAAAAAATTATGTTACTTTTTTGTCATAAACTGTGAAAGTTCCTATTTTACTCATAGCAAAAACAAAATCCTTGCAAGATTTAAAATACTCTGCATTTCCTTGTGCTCCATCATCTTTCTGGTACCATAGCCTATTCTCAGCCTGTCTCAGTCGATACTTCTCTCAAAGATACTTCAGATAACAATACAAAACTGGAGTGAGGAAAAATTATATGACAAAAAAACTATATGCAAAAATAATTATATATATACATGTATATGTTTGTATCCAGTATTATATCACACTTTGGTGAAAATAAATGATTAAAATGGCCAAGCATATATATGAAATTGTTATGACAACATAAAGTAATAAGACTCCTTGAGTATCTGTATACTCCATATCATAGATCATTGTTATAACTTGTAGTACTCTGAAATATATTATCTTAAATTTCTTATAAGAGACTAATGTCAAATGTCTTATGATTTAGTATAGTTACTATCTTATGACATTACATTAAAAATTTTCCTCTAAAATTCTTTTTATTAATGACTGTTAGAGCTATTATTTCATTTTGACATTCTTAAATGTGTTTAATATAGCTTAAGGGGGAAATTATTTGTATTTTAGATAAAATAGTCCCTTTCGGCCACTATAAGCAATTTCTTACATTACATGTAAAAATATCCAACTGCAGCAGCATATCTCACTTACATATGGAAAATAAAAAATGGTATAAAATAAAGTTAATAAAATTATTTTATTAAAACACTTGAAACTTTTAGGTATCATTTTTAAATTAGAGGTTGTTTCAAAGGATTTTAGAGTTTCCTTATTAATAAGGAATATTCTAAGTGCAGGAAGAATAAATACTTATAAAAATAAAATC